TGTGGACCTTTTGTCTTGGAGACTACGGTTTGAATTCGGACAGTTGCCAAAGAATGGTAATAACACATATGTCTACCAGTGATTAGGTACCACTTTGAGTAGTAAGATCACCTACATTGTAAATGAAAAAAACAATGATTCCCTCATACAAGATAGAGATTTTTTTATAGTTGTGAAGTTTATCCACCAATATTCTTACGATTATTACCGTATATACGAATCATAGACATGTAAGAAAACACAAACTGTAAACATTTAACATTATCACATCCACTTTCTCTGTATTTCGCACAAACTAAAAGAAAGCACATATTTCTTCTACATACGTATTTCTTATTTGTTCCGTCTTACATTTTACATTAAATACATTTTCATGGACAATTCCAAACAGGCGAAGATTAACATGAAACTTTTCCACTTCCATAACAAATTGACGTTTTTGAACACCAATTCATAATTATTCTCATCAGATACTTGTACAAGCAGTCTTCTAGAATACCAATGACTCCCACAATCTTCAAAATACGTTTCGATTATATGAAAGTGGTTTTACTAAAAAATTCAGTTATTTGTTTTAAGGATGTTATCTTCCAAGATGTGTAAAGATGTTGTTTGTGTTAGAGACAAGTTATCTTGCCAATGGTTTTTTGTACGACTTTACTAAATACATTTTACTTGAATTAAAATTGTATTGTTAAAAAACCGCCATACAGTAAGAAGACACCCTTTTTTCGATACCTAAAATAATAATTAAATAAATAATCAAATAATTTTGTTATGTATGTGTAAAACTAATAAAATATAATACATGCTAAGAAAACTATGTCAACTCTAATAGTTTTATTTCGTTTATATCATCAATACCTCTTACTTTCCCACAATAGATAAACAAAGTCTGTAAACATCAAGTATTTTATAAACATTTTACTTTCAATGAGAATGTACTTTATTGATACCTGAAATGTCAGTGGAAGGTCCAAAACTTAACAAACCTGGTTTTTATAATATTAAAGTTAAGTCAATTTTAAGGATGGTAAAGTTTAAATTGAATGACAAATTATATTTAGATATTTTAGATGAATGGAGTTACTAAGCCAGAGGTTTGTAGAAATTAAATAGTTTTACAATATTTTAATTATTATTTAATTTTTCTAACTTAAATTTAAATCCCCAATATTGTTATGCAAGCTAAAAATAATATTTAATTGATTTTGACCAAAATATTTTAAGAATAATTGAGACTTACAAATCCAGTCATGCACAAAAACATATTGCCTGGACGTGGAGAAATTTTCTGCAATATGTGGATCTATTGACTTTATGCTATTGGAAAACTTATGTCATCTTTGACCTCCATCAAGAATTTAAGGTGAATTCGTAGCATTTATTCTACCATTTTTAACTTAATAACTTAATAATTTGTCCATACAAAGCCAAGAAAGTTATATTGAAGCAGTTTTTTTTATATATTTTACATTGATACTTAAGGGATCATAAACTATTTTAATTTAACTGTATTTTTACAGTCGGTACAGTATTATGATTAAAAAGTCGTGGGTTAGAAATAAAACTTGTCAATTCGATTTTTACTTGAAATTTGACTACAACTCTAAAATGGAATTAGAATATCTAATTCTCAACATTTGTTATTTGATGCATATCCTCGTGACATAGCCATATATACAACTAAAATTAAATTCACAATTAAAATAACTTTCTCCCTTTCTAATAATGTATCACTAACAATAGAACAATGTTTGATCAATTTATATCATCTAGTGAAATATTGTTATGATAAAACCTTCAAAAACTAATCAAGGCTAATTGGACAGTGAGTACATTAATAAAAGAAGAATGACTATTTCAAGACTATTTGCATTTTACTTCCATGCAATTTTAGCCGGAATTGCATTTATTATAATTATTAAATAAATGCTTATCTATATAATTTTGTAATGTACATTTAATCATTGAATCGACAAATGAGTATGTATATAAAAACTATTCTTCAAATATTTGATTAAATTGATGACACGAACTTTGGCCCATGTATTTGTTTATTTAAAATGATTGTTTGGTACCATTTAGTTCATAGCCCTTTTAAACTTATTCATTTAATAAATACATTTTGTATAGCCACACTTGACGTTATAACCCTTTTCTTTGTTGATTTCACCGTAAAGTTTACTATTGTAAACTATATAAAATAATCGGTATATTGATATAAATATACATCACATTATCATCTTATATATATTTTTCTATGCTGTTAGGCCATGTTGAGATGAGCATTTTCCCACAAGTCCCCACTCCTCCCCTTGTGCTTTCCTCTAACCAACCCCGCCCCCTTTTTAGATAAATTTACAGTCTCTTAGAAATTAAGCTATAACTTTAAACCGGGTAAGGATAACAACGCAATCTTTTATTAATCATTTTGCGTTTCAATTTTCTACAAAAAGTGTATTTACCATGTTATCCTGGGGAGCGAGCTGGCGTAGTGGTTAGAGCACGAGACTTCAGTCCCTGAGGTCCCGGATTCGATCCCCGCTAAGTCACCAAAGGATTTTATCCAAGTGCTAATGCCGCAACACCTAGGTCTAGCCTGAAGTAATGTGAAAAACAATCCCAGGCTCGTGGTTAGCGTCATAGGACGAAAAAAAAACATTCTCATATCAAAGCTGTCTGTATCTAGTAGAATCAAAATGGGCGTGGTTGAATTGAGCTACCAATTTAGAATCACCAAGTATTTAATCAATCTAACCAGAAAGTACAACTTATCGCAAACTGTAGAATCTTATATGTCAAACCTAGATGAGATGTTTACTTTTGGTAACCAAAGTTCAATATTGGAGCTCCTAAAATAAATAGGGGGTTTTCATATGAGAATAAAATATGACCTAACCTGCCTTATTTCGGAAATTCACAAATTAAGAAAGTTCTAAGAATAATTTTGATACATTCTAATAATAGTAATCCATTTACTGAAAAAGTTTTCTTATAATTAACATTATTGAATTTTTCATAACATTTAGAGCACACCGACGCTTACATGGTAGCATAAACGCACTAGGTCTTAAAGTAACTATCTATTGACACCATCAACACTTTAAAACTGTAATGTGTTTCTCCTATCGCATGAAAATTGTTCTTGATGCGAAGCTATTGTTCTTGCCTCGCCTTTAGAGATACTCACATCTAAGTTTGCACTTCCATTACATTGTATCTTGCTGATGTTCGTTATTCAAATATAATAGCTATCTACACTATATTGCTGGCTCCTCTGTTACTGAGTTTGAAACAATTTACTTTAGGATGGATACAGAGGTATTCAGTTAGAAACTATGGTAATATATTATGTTGGTTATTTACGTTTAAATAGGGGTATTGTTATCCAAGGAGTTTATTATTTGTTCATCCGGTAGTTAAGTTTGCTCCACTCTGCCTGCAACACTATAGATTCTAGTACATATTGGTTTGCTTAAACTGTTGTATGGCTTTACGTATTTTATTAAAAGTGCCAGCATTTTCTACTTGTTTGTGGGATATTTTAACGTTAGACAACTTTATAACCATTTACCCCACAATCTTTTCCAACAGGCTATCTTCATGTTAATTTGTCTTAAGCATGTCATATTAGGTTTTTTTCAATCAGTTTTTTCTTTGGAAGCCTAGAGATAAGGTTTTACAATATTTTAAGTAAACACATTTTAGTTGTTTGGCATAAATTGTAGTATTGGCCAGATCTTTATTTTTATTTTCTTCGGTTTATTCGTTACGGTTATACGTAGTTATTTCGCGTACAGTAAATCAAAAGCCCTCAGATAACAGTGCTTCATAATATTTCACTTTTTCACAAGGCAACCCTTTAACACAGTTTATTTATTATAATAAACATTCCATTATTTATTTTACTGCATTTTTTATACAATTAAAATCTCTATGCATCCATATATTTCAAAATTTATGTTTATCCTTTGGAAAATCATTATAGTTGGCTATTTATACTTATCTAAATCTTTACTTGTTATTCCTGTAAAACTGTTAAATAGTTGCTACATGTAGTTCATTACCGTTACTATTCAGTAAGCAGTCTCTTTCATAAAGGCCATGTTTACAATTACTTTGGTAGTTAAACATTGATCCACTTTATTGTGCCCCTACCTATTCAATGACTTGAGTTTCAAAAGAAGTGGGTTTCATTGCTGTTTCACCCTCTCCAGTGAACTCTAACTATGCAAATTAATACCCTCTAAAACACACGTTAAACATACTGCTCTCTTATTACCATCTTTATTTACCTCTTATTTTATTTTTCTCTTATTTACCTCTGTCCGAATTTATTTCACTGCACTAGTCACCAGCATCTACATGCGCATACGTCGTGATATTTCCAAGGACATTCGCTTGCGATACGCCGATACAATATATTCTAATACGCTTCAATATGTCACTCCTTGATCTGTGCATGCCCCATGCTATGGACAGTCTGTATCTAGGTTATAGGCGTATATTTCAGAGTGTTAGGCTATAGCTAAGCTGTCTGTAACCCATGGTAGTTAGGCTGCATGCTAAAGGCCGTGGCTAGGTTGTATGTTACAGGCTGTAGCCAAGCCATACGCTAAAGGCTGCATATTGCTAGGTTTTACGTTACCCACTGTAGCTAGGCTGTATGCTAAGGGATGTTGCTAGGCTGTACGTTAACTACCGTAGCTAGGCTGTATTTTACCTGCTGTAGCTAGGCCTTACGTTATAGGCAGCTAAGCTATACACCAAAGGCTGTTGCTAGGTTATATGTTACAGTCTGTACCTAGGCTGTATTTTACCTACTGTAGCTAGGCTTTATGTTGTAGGGTTCAGCTAGGCCATATGTTAAAGGCTGTAACTAGGCTGTATGTTAGAAGCTAAAGCTAGGTTATATGTTACAGGCTGTGACTAGGCTTTATGTTAGAAGCTGTGACTAGGCTGTATGTTAGAAGCTGTAGCTAGGCTATATGTTACAGACTGTAAGGGTGTGTAATGGAGCTCTTCTGACAGACGATGGCCCCGTCCCTTCCCCCACCACCACCTGTGAAGACGATCCCTTGCATGAGGCATGCGTAGTAAGTATGCTTCTGCTTCTAGGTTGTACTATTTAGTTTGTTAGGTCCCCAGTTTAAAATTACCTGCTCGGCTTTTCCCTTTTTAAAATATTATTTATGTTTATTTAAATCATTGGCATCCATTATGTTGCAAACTTTTCCTCCCACATCCATTGGAGACATATTTTAGATGTTATCTGTCACAATTTTTACTACATACTCAGTGGAGTATTTTTAATGCAATTCAGAATGGAATTTTGCAAGAAACCCAGAATAGTTTTTGCTTTCAAGTTAGTGCAATGACAACGATACAAATTATTAGCATACATTGTCGTGGTTACGGTGTTTGTTGTAGGTGAATAGTGACGCATTCAGTTCGCCTGAACTGCTATTACTTATTAAGTTTTATATTGTATTCCTCACTAAAGGCCTAATTCGAAACGAGCCTGTTTAACTTTCAAGGCGAGACCGAGGTCAGGAAATCAGCCATGGTCAAAAATACACCATCCAGTATGAACCAGTCAAACATAAACCATCCAGTACGAACCAGTCAAAATAAACCATCCAGTATGAACGAATCAAAAATACACTATCCAGTATGAACCAGTCAAAAATACACCATCCAGTATGAACCAGTCAAAAATACACCATCCAGTATGAACCAGCCAAAAATAAACCATCCAGTATGAACGAATCAAAAATACACTATCCAGTATGAACCAGTCAAAAATACACCATCCAGTATGAACCAGTCATAAATACACCATCCAGTATGAACGAATCAAAAATACACTATCCAGTATGAACCAGTCAAAAATACACCATCCAGTATGAACCAGTCAAAAATACACCATCCAGTATGAACCAGTCAAAAATACACTATCCAGTATGAACCAGTCATAAATACACCATCCAGTATGAACCAGTCAAAAAAACACTATCCAGTATGAACCAGTCAAAAATACACCATCCAGTATGAACCAGTCAAAAATACACTATCCAGTATGAACCAGTCATAAATACACCATCCAGTATGAACCAGTCAAAAATACACCATCCAGTATGTACCAGTCAAAAATACACTATCCAGTATGAACCAGTCAAAAATACACCATCCAGTATGAACCAGTCAAAAATAGACTACCCAGTATGAACCAGTCATAAATACACCATCCAGTATGAACCAGTGAAAAATACACCATCCAGTATGAACCAGTCAAAAATACACTATCCAGTATGAACCAGTCAAAAATACACCATCCAGTATGAACCAGTCAAAAATAGACTATCCAGTATGAACCAGTCAAAAATACACCATCCAGTATGAACCAGTCAAAAATACATCATCCAGTATGAATCAGTCAAAAATAGACTATCCAGTATGAACCAGTCAATAATACACCATCCAGTATTAACCAGTCAAAAATACACCATCCAGTATGAACCAGTCAAAAATACACTATCCAGTATGAATTAGTCAAAAATACACCATCCAGTATGAACCAGTCAAAAATACACCAGTATTAACTATGTGAGCTATTTTCCCGCCATACTACACCATTCTTTGCGATAGCTGAATTGCCCAGCATGAGTCGGGCATAGTTTACATGACCTAATTAGCTCCGAAAATATAGAAATTTTTCTGTTAATACTAAATACGAACGGCTATTTTTATGCAATAATATTGCATAAAAATAGGGATACATATTATGTTTCCCTCCACCGATACAATAATACGTTTATTTTTATTACCATGATTATTTTACTTATAAATTTGATGTATTATTGTGGTAATATGACACGATGAAAAGAGAGCAATTTATCCAATGGCATGACATTTTTTTTATAGATAATGCAAAATAGATGTTTTTTTAAAACATGAGTGTTGGGGCTGAACTACCATAAGGTGTCTTATATGATCACTGGGCTTAAGTAAATTTTCTTTTGAGGGACATACACTTAAAATTTGTATCACTTTAAAATTCGTCCGCTGATTTTAACAATTAAAATAATCCCGTTTGATTTCATTTCATTTCATTTCAATATCTTTATTCAACAATTGTACATTGTACATTGAATAGTGTCAGATTCCTAACCTAGTAAATAAAGTTATAAGCTAAAATTACAACTTATATAATACTAAGAAACTAAAAATAAAATCAGGTTAATTGGGGAAACACCTCTTTAATGGAGTAGGGAGCGATTTCTATGAGATAATTTTTTAATTTGTTTTTAAATTTGATTGAGTTGCCAATGGGTTTTAAATGATTTGGAAGAAACCGTAAAAATCTTCTTCCGGCACAGGTGGGCTTTTTATTTGAAAATAAAAGATGGTTGCGACTATTTTCTCTTAGGGCTTTTCCTCTTGTATTGTAGCATAATTGTGCGTTATCTGATATACTTTCTTTCGCTATGAGAGCAGTTTCAAAAATGTATTGGGCAAACACAGTTAATATTTTAAAATTTTTGAAATGAATTTTAACACATTCATCATTTTTTAGTCCCATCATTGTTCTTAATGCCCTTTGCTGTAATTTTAAGATTCGATTAAGATTTTTCTTAGTTGTAGCTCCATATAAAGATATACCGTATGAAATGTGGCTATGGACAAGAGAATGATATATTGTTTTTAAAGTATTGATATTACATAGATATGACATCTTTTTCAAAGCAAATATCCCTGAATTTATCTTTGAGCAAACATGATTGACGTGGTCCTGCCAGGATAGATGTTTATCAACTTTTAAACCTAAAAAATTTATTTTTTCAACTTGTTTGATTTCATCGGAATCCAAAATAATCAACGGTTCTATTTTGTTTTTACATTGCTTAGTTGAAAATGATATAAAATTAGTTTTACTTTTGTTTATTTTGAGATTGTTGGATAGTAAGTAATTTTTAATATTTGCAAGTTCTATAAAGGTATCTATTTCGATATGTTCTACTGTTTTTCCTGTAATTTTTAAGTTAATGTCATCAGCATATAAACACATATTTCCACAAGGTACACACGACAGAACATTTGGAATCTTATCAATGTAGCAAAGGAATAAAACAGGGCCTAGTATTGAACCCTGAGGGACACCAAAGTGATTAAGTTTTATTTCTGATCTGTTTTTTACCAGCCAATTATTTTTATTAGACATGATTTCAACGTATTGCTTTCTTTCCGATAAATATGATTTGAACCACGCCAAAATGTGACCTCTTACTCCCATATCTTCTAGTTTGAGTATTAGAGTTTGGTGACATACCCTATCAAAAGCCTTCGTAAGGTCCATTGATATTCCTATAACATTTTCGTGGCTATCAATTGAATTTATTATACTCTCAAAAAAACTTGAAGCAGCTGTAATTGTTGATCTGCCTGAGCGAAAACCATGTTGGCCACTAAATAGAAGGTTGTTATTTTCTAGAAAAGACACTAGCCTAATTTTCATTGCCTTTTCAAATAATTTTGAAATAACTGGCAAAAGTGATATTGGTCGATAGTTTTCTACGCACTGAGGGTCCCCCTTTTTGAAAATAGGCACAACCTTAGCAACTTTTAATAATTTTGGAAAATGACCGGATATAAAAGATGAATTAATTAAATGAGTAAAAATTGGAACTAGTTCTTGTTTTGTATATTTTATTACTTTAACGGGAATTTCGTCGTGCCCACGTGAAGGTTTGTTACTTAAAGAGTTTATCAGTTTTTCTACTTCCTCACATGAAACAGGTTCACATCGAAATAATGTTTTAGATTTGACACAATTTGTTAGTACTGGCTGGTGATTATCTAACAACTTATTACAGTTTACAGAACCATTCTTTCCAGATAAACTTACAAAGTAGTCATTTAGTACATTAGATATTGCCCTGGGATCTGCAATAGTTGTTCCTTTGTACGCAATGGTCATGTCATTTACTAAGTTATTTTCTTTGTTACCTACTTCTTTATTTATAATTTTCCAGGTTGTTTTCATAACATTATCCGAGTTATTTATTTTTTTATCGTAGTGTAATCTTTTAGTTTTGTTTGCCGATTTTTTAAAAGTCTTCATTTTTGTTTTACAGAGGTTAGACAAGTTTTCGTCTTTTAATAATCTAGCTAATTTTGATGATTCCACGATTTCGTTGAATTCCTCCTTTAATGAATAAGTATACCACTCTTTACTGTTAGTTTGTTTCTTTATTACTTGTTTTGGAAATGCTGTGATAAAATGTGATTTGAAAATTTTATAAAATGTTTCGTATTTTTGTTCACAGTTTGCATTAAAAACTTCAAACCAGGACTCGTTTTGTAATGATATTTTGAAATTAATTAGATTTTCATCAGATAGGTTATAGTCTAAATACTTCAGTGACTCGTTTTTCCATGTTTTTTTGGTTAATTTATCAAGGGTCAAAATTTGAGCATCATGATCAGATAGATATGTAACCAGTCCCTCTATTTTTAGATTAGATTTGGGAATATTTGTCAAAAAGTTGTCTATTGCAGATTCCGAGGGCCCTACTACCCTTGTGGGAAAATCAACCAGATATTGCATTCCATGTCTAACTAGAACAGAGTTTAGATCCGTGGCATTCCTATCATTTCCTAATGTGTTAATATTTATGTCACCAGCCACTATAACATATTTATTCCTAGCTAGTACAATATCTAATAGCTTACTTAGCCTGTCTAAAAAAATTGGAACTTTAGAAATTGGTGATCTGTAAACTGCAACCAACAAGAATGATTCAGTATCGGATTTAAAACAAACCATGCTGCTCTCAAACTGTTTGTCTTCATGTAAGGATAACACTTCAGGAATAACAACTGGACTCCACTTCACAGCTCCACGCGCAAAGATGGCAACACCCCCTCCCGTCGTGGTGGTGCGGCAGTAATGAGAAAGTAATTTAAATTTATTTACATGCAATCTGGATATCTCATTTTGATTTAATTTATGCTCTGTTAAAACTACTATATCGGGGTTACTTTCGTTTAAAATAATTTCTAGTGGTTCGATGCGGCTTGCTAAATGTTGAATGTT